TTGTGTCATTATTTTACTAAAGGACATGTTTTCTAAAATGAAATATTGGTAAATGTAAACCATATTACATGAAGTTTCTCTATAGTGACAGTACATAAACATTAACCTTTTTTTAATTGTATTATTTTTATTGAGGTAATATTGATTAACCACACTGTATTTAATTTAGGTATATAGGTTCACCCACCAACAATACCCATAATCCTCCACCATTGCCCACTGAGCCCACTTCCCTCCTTTGCTTCCCACCTCTGCCTCCTTCCTTTTGCCCCTCTGGTAGACTCAATTTTACAGTTAAATTTCTAGGGTTTGTTTTGGTTTAGTTTTAACTTTTCCTTTGTTTTATTTTTTTGTATTCACACATGAGGAAATCATCTAGCATTCATCTTTCTCTTTCAGGTTTATTTTGCTTGACATAATCTACTTTAGCTCCATGTTGTTGCAGATGGCAAGCTTTCATCTTTATTTTTAGCTGAGTAGCATTCCATTGTAAGCTATTCCATTGTCTGCCTACATCTCCACAATTGTAGGCTGCTACCTTCAGTCTGATCATAGAAGATTGGACATTCTCGTGATAATTCATTTAACTCATCCATTTTTTATACCAGTATCATAGGAAAAGTCAGAAAAAGAGAAACATTAGTTTAAAACACCAGTGTTTCTATTTTCCAGGAATTTCAGTGTGTATCTGCCAAATAAAGTACACTGTTTCAAGTTTTCTGACCCGCCCACTTACATTTAGTGTAGAAATAATTTTAAAAAAGAATACAATTCAATAAGTCTGTTTTTTCATTGGGTTTGGATAGCCAGACATACTCTGCTTCTGACTAAGACCTAGCATTGCAGTCCAGAAGATCAGGAAGTATGAAGAACTAATGGCTCTTCTCTAGTTTCCATAACTACAACCTCTTTATTATCTGTTAATCACTTGAAACTATTAATATCAACTATCTAGCTCCTATGGATGTATCTCCATAAATCCAATATTTTCTATCATAATCTTATTTTGGAAGAAATTATAACCAATGACTCCAACACACCATATTTTAAAAGTTATAACATATTTATTTTTTATAGTACATAAGAGCTAGAAATACCTTATAGTTGAAGTTACAAGCCAAAACTCAACTACTGCTAGAAAATGATAAAAATCTCCTTTTAATTTAAATAAATTTCATATGCCTCCAATATACAAATAGTGTGAACTTTACAAATGGAAAATATTTGTGAATCTAATAAGTCCTTTTTGAAAGAGAGTGACAGAATTAAATATCACTTCTCTACACATGTGGTGTGACAATTTCATTTTGTTCCAAGTTATTTTACTTTTTGGGCAACTCTGGAGTTTGTAAACATGCCATAAAATTTGGTAATTACATAATGATGATTTCACGGTTCTAGCTTAGTATGAAAGGTGGCTAGACAGAGCAGTAAAATTGATTTTCTTTTTTATCTATGTGGAAAGAAACAAAAGGAAATTGAATGCAAAATCTGAATTAAGACCATATTAGAATTATGACTCAACAATTTGTTACACATGAAAGGAATACAAGGGCACCAGTGTTATTTGTGCTATGACATTCAGACTGGGAGCTAAGCTCTAACCAACCTTTGTTTAATCCATGCCTATTTTTGATACCCACAATAGTCAGATGCATATAACCTGACTCTATCTCTTGTTGTCTCCAAGGTACTCAGAGGCAGGACTGCCCCTAGGAAAAATTATGAAGTAGGTGAAACTTGTGTTCATTCCTTACAATCTCACCTGAGAGAGTCTCCACCTCCCTATCTGGAGGGGCTATTCTTGTGGCTCATGGCTCTGATGTAACCTCTGTTTTCCAGCAGGCCTCATCAGTTTCTTGTTGTCTAATCCCTTATTGATTGTATAAATTCCCTGCTCAGAAACTGATCCATGCCTCCCCAAGAGGAGCCAGGCAATGAAAACCTTTCCTCTAGTCCTTGATTCTATGACATACTGCTCCCCTCCAATATTCTGCAAGGGGGCTACCCACCTTGCCCTTTTAATTTAAATACCTTTTCCTATATCATTCTTGTTGCCTGGGCTGGTCTTCACATCTTGTCTCCGTCTAAGGAAATCCGAATCATCCTTCAAGACTCCACTCGGTTACAAGATACCTTCTCAGGTCATCCCCCAATCTTTCATTCATAATTCTCTCCCCATGTTGCTCTGTAGTATACTATTTATCTATATGTCTTGTCTCTAGGAACTGTGCTGGGCAATTTACACATATAATCTCATTTAAATTTCACAACAATCCTAGGAGGTAGGTATTACATTTAAGAGTTGAGAAAATTGAGGCTCAAATAGGTTGATTAATTTGAACAAGGTCACATTGCTAGAAAATAATAGAACAAAGACTTAAACCCAGACCAAGATATATATTTTCCACCAAAATATATTGCCATATTATTTAGTTATTTTCCATCTTCTGAAAGATGATTGGAATTTTAAAAAGGAGAAGGCCATACAAGCTTTCTGACTATCAAAAGAGAGATAAGGCTTATTGTCAATGACTATCATCCTAGCTAGAAGTGATTGGTTAGCTATAATCCATGGAAATTTCAATGAAATATGAGAGGAAAAAAATTCTTATTTAAGGTAGTCAGCCCAAGTAAAAGTGACATTAAAAGAGAAGAGTCAAGACAATTTATAATTCAGAAAAGGCTAGATAGCAGTGGTTGCTGAGCACAATTGAAAAATAAGTACAAGAAAAATAAGGAAACCAAAGGTTGAGTAGGAAAAGGCTTTCTATTAAGACCCTGGAGGATGAAAAAAAAAAAAAATGTGGTAGGATAGGAGCCTAAAGATAGGATTATCATCCTATATCTCTCATGAATTATCACTAGTTCGACTGAGTATAAATTGCCCCCTCCCCCTTTTCTTCCCCTTTATGCCCCAAGTGTGGCATTTTGGATAGGTTAGAAGAGAGACACTGAGACACAGAGTTTTCCTAAGACTCTCATCTTCGACAACTTTTGCAATGTCTTTGCCAGTCCCCAGGACTAGGGAGCTTCAGCTCTATGCTACGAAGTCATTCTTCGGGCCTGAGCTTCCAGATCCCATCCCTGGGAGGAATTTTGACAAAGAATGTGCTTTTAGCCCACTATTTTTGCCTCTCCAACTTGAAAACCAAAACCTGTCTTCCTCTTCGCTTGTATCGTTTTCTTGTTTTCTAGCTTGTCCTATGATCAGTTACTTTTCTTTAAAATAAGTCAGCTGCAGATATCATTGTCAATCAAGCTTTTTTTTTCCAGAATCAATCATCTTTATTTTTTATTTATTTTAATTGAAGTGAGATAAAAATGTGACATCATATTAGTTTCTGATGTGCATCATTGATAATTGCATGCCTATCACATAGAGTATAGTTAAGTTCACTTCTATTAGCTTCTGACAGACATCTCACTTTGCAAAGTTCTTTTAAGTTCATAGATGGCATTACATGTTTGTTTTTCATGCAGGTCTGAATAGTTTTGAAATTACGAGTTAGGGCAAATTATCCATGTAATCTAACCTGGCCTGTAGCGACCTTCAGCCCCTGTATTAGGGAACTTTAAGGATTTCCTTTTCAGTTTGTGCTAGAGCTGAGGAATTTGACAAGCCAAATCAAAAACCACCATCAATAACACCAATAAATAAATAAAATAAAAATCAAACAAAAAGATTCTTTTCTTTCAGGTTTTTGAAGTTTGTTTTTCCTCTATAGCAGACCTCTAAGCTAACTCACTTTTATACTTGTGAAATAGTTACAGATTCACGGGAAATTGGGGTAAAAGGTAGAGATCTACTACCCCCTTTACCCCATTTCTCCCCACAAATGATAGTGTACTATCAAAGTCAGGAAATTGACTGTCACAAACGATTGTACACTATTAAAGCTGGATAATTGATGTTGGTCTAATTCATTTGTAAATTTCATTAAAAGAAAAACTCACTCTAACTGAAAGGCAGTCTTATCAGTTGTAAATTTTGTTGTAAAGTTTAGTTCTGCTTCCAAGTGATCACCAGCCAGACAGTTCTGAGCAATAGAATGCTATGTCCCTGGGACCGCAGAGAAGTTCCCCCTCCTTATAGCAGACGATATTGTCTCATTCAAACCTCACTCAATGTCGTAGTTACTGTCGAAGGGAGCCCTCGTTGAAAATTGGGATGGAATCTGGTTTTGCCTCCAACAGGTGACCTTGAACAAATCACTTGACCTTTTCAAGACTCAGGGTCTTCATGTATAGAGTGGAAAAATATTTTTCCTACTTACTTCAGAGGGTTGTGATGAGGATTAGATGTGAAGATGTGTATGAGGAGGTCGACTATCAATCAGCAATTAGGAAGTCTAGATTCTTTTCTAAAACTATTGCCAGTTACAGAATGTAGTTTTTCAGAAGTGACCTTATTCTTAGAGACAGAACAAAAGGATCACCTTACTTGCCATGAGAAAGGCCTAGAAATTCCATCAAGTGTGGATAAGCTTTCCTTTCTACTACTCTTAGTAGGGCAGGTATAAGCACTATACTGGAAACTGATTCATCATCACATGCCACACCCCTCAGGTCTGTACTTCATTTTAAATAAATATTTCTTATCATTGTATTCCAAAAAAGTTGAATGCATTTAAAATGTTTTTATTTTTATCCTAACCACAGGTGTCATTGTTAAGATTTTTTTCATGTCACGAGATGTACACTAGGTATTTTTGACAATAGTGAGAAATTATAAGGATACCAGATTAGACAGCGGATGGTTTATGAAGTCAAAATGGATATCATCCAAGCTGCATTGTTCCTTGGTTTGTCTGGAGGGATAATATAAACTCCCTACGCACTGGTGTGTAGGTAGTAAAAATGCTATTCTTGGCAGTAAGGGTGGAGAAATATATAGGAAAAAAATAAATCATAGACGATAAAAGTCTTTGTGGGTACAGAATGTTTTGGGCACCTCAATAAAATTGTTAAGATTGTTTTCTCCCCTCTCCTCTATACAGGCTGGCATGGCTCTGACCTATGACCCCACAGCTGCCATACAGAATGGGTAAGTGAACCATGTTTTGCTCTTTTTTATTGGCTAAGATATCCTTTGAGTCCTGCATTTCAAATTTCAGAGCTGTTCCCCAAAATTCAAATCAGTTTATCTTTGCTTTAAGTCTTTAAGCAAACTCCATAAACCAAATATTTCTCACCATTGTTCTTTTTTCTTCCCATGTCTGATCTCATAACATCCTCTTAAGTACCCATTTCACTGTGCCTCAGTGTTTGTCATTATTATGCACTCCCATTTCTTTCCATCTCACTCTGATTCTTTCATCTGAAAAAGAGGAAGGAAGGAAATGTAATATGGATCTATTGATAGATCAAGCTAGTCTAGGACAGGAACTTGTGTGCGGCTAGGAAGGAATGTTTCCCCTGCTCATCACACCTTTCTCATTTTAGTGGGTTTCCAGGGTCATTTCTTTGAAGGAAGTTTTACTCTACCCTCTTGGCTGTCAGAGGAAGGGCAGTGTACAGAAGTCAAGTTAGTAACATGATAACTATACTTTTTACTTTAGTGGGCGTCCAAATTTTGTTGTCTCTTACTTAGATTAGCCACAGACCCTTAAAATGCTACTTCGAGAAGTAAAACTTACCGAATTTGGCCTCCCTGTAATCATTATGTCTTTGGTTGAAATTTTCTTCTCACTTTACAGTGTTTGTTTTGTTGTTGTTGTTTGTTCATTTGTTTGTTTTCTGCATTGGCTCTCCTAACGTTGGCAAGAATTATTCATTGGCTGGTTGATTGTTTCTTTATAAGTCCTTTATGTTGGATTTTTCCATAGCTTTTAGTTATATTTGGGTATCATAAAATAATCAATTAGAATGAACAAAGACTTGACTCCAGATTAATGTAGATGATAGAAGAAATTAAACTTATTTTTTATTTTGGTCAACTGCCTTTTATCAAAATTTGAGGGATATTGAAATTATTTAAATAAGTATCTCTTAGTTTTATAGTTATCCATTCAAAATGTTGTTTATTCAATCATTCAGTAAACATCCAAATGTAACTGCCAAGCCCAGTGTTATGTTATAAAGATATAAAAAATGAATGTATAAGACAAGGTTTGTTCTTCAGAGAATAAAGTCGTCCATTCCTAAAATAGTAAACATGGCAGGTAAGCTAAAGTAGAAGTCTAGTCCTTTGTTTCTGGTTGATTGAAGCTTCCTTCTAGAAGTGAAAGCTAAGGATATCCTTCCATTTAACTAATAAACATTTACTTTTTTTTTTTTCAGCAAAATACTTTTAACTTCATGGTAGTAAAAGAAAACAGACACCTGAGGAAAAAAATCCTCTACAGTCTTTTTGCATGGTTTGGGAAATAAAATTATTTACTCAAAAGATGTAAATTAAGGCATAACTCACAGTGACATAAAATAGATGTTTTAGTGGAAGGGTATTATATTTACTAAACATATACCATGAAGCAAGTATGTTAGTTTGTTCTTTAGTGGTGCACAGTTTCAGGATCAATGATGTATAAAATTTCATGCAAGTACAACTATAAATTTATACATATACAGGAAAGCACACATACTTATTGATATATAACTATATCCCCACTAACATCAACAATGCTAATACTTTGCATGTATGCCTGTGTATTTATGCACACATACATTCATTGAACACCCAATGTGTGTGCATGTATGTATGTGTGTATGTATGTGTGTCTCTATCTATAATATCTGTCTGCTTACAATAAACCCCTTTCTTGCCCAAGGCGCTCTGTCAAGGACTGAGGTGATACAGCAGGGGCCGAGGTCAGGATTGGAATGAGAGAACGGCCCCTTCTCATGCAATGCTTTACTCAGTCATCTCTCCAATGCACAGTTTAAAATCCTAATGTCCACTTTAAATAATAGTTTCCACAGCATTCTTCCTAATTAATTACATACCAAAAGAAAAAGCATTGGTATTGCAGTTCTCAATCTGAATAACCAAAGAGAACTTTTGGCTCCTCCATATTAGAGGTAGTGAGGACTGTCTGGGGTACAGTGACCATTTCTCCATTTCTCCCTTTTCCTGCAGGTCTTCACCTCACATTTCTGGTCACCACCTCTATACTTTTGGAGGTTGACTGCAGGTACATCTGTCACCTTGTATCACCACTCTGTGATTTGTTTTATCTGTAATTTATACTCTGTTATATTGACAGGATAATATTGTATCCACTGAACTGCTTTAGTTGCTGCAAAAAATGCTCACTCTCTTCTACTGCCTATTTAAATGTTTGCAATATTGTTTTCCCTCAGAAAGGAAATTTTATTTAAGTTGCTGAGGGGGACCCATATTCTTGGGCTCATGTATTCTCATTAACAGAGGACATTATTCAGTTAATCAGTTCCTTTATTCAAACCTTCCTGCACATAAAATATGAGCTATAAGCTCTAAACCCACTCAAGTCAAGATCAAAGCAATTTAATATTTACCTGTTTGTGGGATCACTTCTAGTGATCTATTTCAAGCTTCTCTTCATAGGTGAATGACTTCAGTCTTCTAGACATTATATATTTTTCCTGCATTATTGTCTAATTAAGCCTATTTAAGCATGAATTCTGTTCTCAAACTTCACTGGAATTCCCCTTGTTAAAGTCCTACTGATCTCCAAATTTTCTATTTGTAACTGTTAGTCTTCATATTATTTTAAAATTTGCCAATTTTTTGTACCTTTTGTGTCTTCTTGAAAACTTCTTATCCCTTGAGTCCCTAATTCATTCTTTAAGGACTGTAGTTGTTGCTAACTCTTGCTGTTCAATCAGTAACTTCTGGTTCTTTCTCTTGCTTATCTTTGTCAGTGTTATACTTCTTTCACTCTGCCTTCTTCCTGGCTGATATCATCTGCTCTTGTTTTTTGGGAACAGAAGCTTTCCAAGTTTGTCATTCAAGCTCATGACTAGATGCAGAATCCTATTACCTACCTTTCTCACTGCTTTATTACTGCTGGATAGCTGTACATATATGAGGGGAAGGTCATTGTCCTCCTTCACTCTTCATGATACAAAGATCATGCAAATAAAAAGCAGCACCAATTCATTTTTTTCTCTTAAAAATTGTACCCCAAAGCCATGTATGCTATAAAATCTATTTCTCTGGGTTCTCAGCCAACACTATTTACAAATAGATAGATAGATAGATAGATAGATAGATAGATAGATAGATAGATAGATAGATAGATAGATAGA